TCTGTATGTCAGAGAGGGTATAAAGTCTAGAAAGATTGAGAGGCTAAGTGAATTGGATTCGCTTCTGGAAGTTCTATGGGTTGAAATAGGGGGGCCAAAAGGAAACTTAACACTGGGAGTTTGTTATCGCCCACCAGATCAAAAGATAGAGGAGGATTATAAAATGATGAATGCCTTAAAGATAGCAACTAGACAAAAACACTGTGTAATAATAGGTGATTTTAACTACCCACACATTGATTGGGTCAATATGTGTTCTAGTCGGGAAAAAGAGATTGAGTTTCTAGACACTCTAAATGACTGTGCTATGGAGCAGATGGTCACGGAACCTACCAGGGGAGAGGCGATCCTTGATTTGGTCCTAAGTAACACTCAAGACCTGGTGAGAGATGTAAAAGTGATTGCACCGCTTGGAAACAGTGATCATAATGTTGTTGAGTTCATCATTTGTACAAATAGAGAATTGGCCAAAAAGACTCACACAACCATTTTTAACTTTAAAAGGGGTAATTTCTCTGATATGAGGGGACACGTGGGGAGGAAACTGAAAGGAAAAGTAGAAAGGGTCAAAACAATTGGGGAAGCTTGGGATCTATTTAAAACTACGATCCTAGAAGCTCAAAAAATATATATTCCGCAGGTTAGGAAAGGCACAAACAGGTATAGGAAAAAGCCTGCATGGTTAACAAACAGAGTAATGGAGGCTGTAAAAAGTAAAAAGAATTCCTTTAAGCAGTGGAAAGCTAGTCACAGTGAGGCTGATAAAACGGAACACAGGCTATGGCAAATAAAATGCAAGTCTGAGGTCAGGCAGGCAAAAAGGGAATATGAGGAGCATATAGCAAAAAACGTAAAAACCAACAATAAAACTTTCTTCAAATACATTAGAAACAGGAAACCAGCCAGGGAGGCAGTGGGGCCCTTGGACGACCAAGGGGTAAAAGGAGTATTGAAGGATGATAGGGAAATGGCTGAGAAGCTAAATGCATTTTTTGCCTCCGTCTTCACTGTGGAAGATGAGAAGTGCTTGCCCACTCCAGAACCACTGATTTCAGGAGGGGTGTTGGAAGACCTGAGTCAGATTGAGGTGATGAGAGAGGAGGTCCTAAAACTGATAGACAACTTAAAAACTGAAAAATCACCAGGCCCAGATGGCATACATCCGAGAGTTCTGAAAGAACTCAAATGTGAACTTGTAGATCTCCTGACAAAGATATGTAATCTTTCCTTAAAATCTGCCTCCATTCCTGAGGATTGGAAGGTAGCTAATGTCACTCCCATCTTTAAAAAGGGTTCCAGAGGAGATCCGGGAAATTACAGGCCAGTCAGTCTGACGTCGATACCGGGTAAATTGGTGGAAACCATTATTAAGGAAAGAATTAGTAGGCACATAGATGAACAAAACCTATTGAGGCAGACTCAGCACGGTTTCTGTAAGGGAAGATCTTGTCTCACTAACCTGTTAGTGTTCTTTGAGGGGGTGAACAAACATGTGGACAAGGGGGATCCAATAGATATTATTTACCTTGACTTCCAGAAAGCTTTTGATAAAGTTCCTCATCAAAGGCTCCTAAGTAAGCTCAAAAATCATGGGATAGAAGGACAAGTCCTTTTATGGATCAAAAACTGGCTAGTTCATAGAAAACAGAGAGTGAGTGTAGGTGGGCAATTTTCTCAGTGGAGGGTGGTAAGCAGTGGGGTACCGCAGGGATCAGTACTTGGTCCACTGCTTTTTAACTTGTTCATTAATGATTTGGAGATGGGAGTAAGCAGTGAAGTGGCTAAATTTGCGGATGATACAAAGTTGTTCAGGGTGGTGAAAACCAGTGAGGATTGTGAGGCACTCCAAGGGGATCTGTCAAGGATGGGCGAGTGGGCGTCAACATGGCAAATGGGGTTCAATGTGGCCAAGTGCAAGGTGATGCACATTGGAGCCAAAAATCCTAAATATAAATACACATTGATGGGGTCTGAACTGGCAGAGACTGAGCAAGAGAGAGATCTTGGAGTTGTAGTGGATAACTCACTGAAAATGTCGAGACAGTGTGTGACTGCAATAAAGAAGGCCAATGCTATGCTGGGGATTATTAGGAAGGGTATTGAAAACAGATCAGCCAATATAATAATGCCCCTATATAAATCAATGGTGAGACCTCATTTGGAATACTGTGTGCAGTTCTGGTCACCACACCTTAAAAAGGATATTATAGCTTTGGAAAAAGTGCAGAAAAGGGCAACTCGAATGATAAAAGGGTTGGAACACTTTCCCTATGAGGAAAGGTTAAAGCGCTTAGGGCTCTTTAGCTTGGAGAAAAGACGACTGAGGGGTGACATGATCGAGGTTTATAAGATTATGCATGGGAAAGAGCAGGTAAAGAAAGAGGTACTTTTCTCCCTTTCTCACAATACAAGAACTCGTGGGCACTCCATGAAACTGCAGAGCGGTCGGGTTAGAACGGATAAAAGGAAGTACTTCTTCACCCAAAGAGTGATTAACACATGGAATTCACTGCCACAGGAAGTGGTGGGTGCTACAAGCATGGACGGCTTCAAAAGGGAATTAGATAAGCATATGGAGCAGAGGTCCATCAGTGGCTATTAGCCACAAGGTATAGCTAGGGGCTCTGGGGCAAGTGATGCTCTGTCTTCTTGGTCCTTGGGGGGGGTGGACCTCCTGATGGCACTGGTATTTCTGGCCACTGTGTGACACAGAGTGTTGGACTGGATGGGCCTTTGGCCTGATCCAACATTGGTTGGACTGGATGGGCCTTTGGCCTGATCCAACATTGGCGTCTCTTATGTTCTTATGTTCTTATGATTTCCCAGATCCCAGTCCAACACTGTAACCAGTGCCCCACTCTGGGTCTATATTACCTGTTCCTCCCTATACAATTTCCATTCTTCGGCAGGTGAGTAATCTATTTTAGGTTGTTTTTTTTCTTGTATTAGTGTGTTCCTAGGACCCGCACACTTTGCCTCAGTTCCATACAACCATCTTAAAGCATTCACCAAACCCTAAGTCATGTCCCCACCTCATTTTTCTAACTCTTAAGATGTTCCTTAGGAGTCTGTTCAGTGTAGTGTTGATGGGACCCAGTGTGATGTAGCAGTCGTGGTGTCGGACTCAGGTCTTGGAGAACCAGGCCCAAATCCTCACTCTGCCGGGAAGCTTGCTGGACGGGGATGGGCACAAACCTGCTCACAAATGAAAGTTCATGACTAATATTGGCTGTTTTGTGAAGCGAGGTTCGTGAACTGAAGGTCCACCACGAACTTGCATGAATTTTAAGGTAGTTCATGGTGATTCATGAAGAGCAGAAAGCAGGGGTTTAAATGGCTCCAAGCCAGTTCGGTGTAGTGGTTAGGAGCACAGATTCTAATGAGGGAGAACTGGGTTTGATTCCCCACTCCTCCACATGTAGTTTCTGGTGTGACCTTGGGTCTCTTATAAGTTCTTTCAGAGCTGTTCTCTCACAAGCCGTTCTTGAAAGAGCTCTCTCATCCCCACCTACCTCACAGGGTGTCCGTTGTAGGGAAGGGGAAAGGAAAGGAGATTGTAAGCCACTCTGAGGCCCCTTCGGGTAGTGAAGGGCAGGGTATAAATCCAGTCTCCTCATCCTTATCCTCCTCCTCCTCCACAAAGACAGTTGAGTGGTGGGGAGCAGAAGTGGGGAGTTTAAATGGTTCCCTGCCAAAAAACTACTGAGAGAGCCAGTTTGGTGTCGTGGTGAAGTGCGCGGACTCTAATCTGGGAGAACTGGGTTTGATTCCCCACTCCTCCACATGCACCTGGCTGGATGACCTTGGGAAAGCCATAGTTCTGATAAGAGCTGTTCTTGAAAAAGAGCCGTTTCTGTCAGAGCTCTCTCAGCCCCACCGACCTCACAGAGTGTCTGTTGTTGGGAGGGGAAGGGAAAGGAGTTTGTGAGCCACTGTGGGACTCCTCTGGGCAGTGAAGGGCCATGGGGTAGAAATCCAATCTCTTCTTCTTCTTCTATTGGTTCATGGTTCAGTTTGTGGTTCACCAACAAACCGAACTGCAAAAATATGGTTCATGCCCATCCCTATTGCTGGATAAATTATGGCTAGTTTCTTTCTCTCATAGTAACTTACAGGGTTCTTGTGAGGATAAGATGGAGGCGAAGCATTGTTAGTGTGTTCCCAGGATCCACATACTTTGTCTCAGTTCCTAGTTCCACACAACTAAGGTTCTTGTACTCCCGAAGGTTCTTGTATTCAAGAAATACATAAAATTCCACGTAGTGGTACTGTAAGTGTTTTCATTTTGAGTGGGCGTGTAAGAGAGGGATTGTGTTCCACCCACTGGGCTGGGAGTTCTAATAGTAAGCCAAAGCACAGGCATCTATTCCTATCACAAGAACCCTGTTGGATCAGGCCTGTGCTCAGGACGCTTCGGAGGCACGTCTTTACACAGCCCAAGAGCTCCAGCCACACATGGTCAGAAGAAAGTATCGGTGCCAGCCAGACGCCTGCAATGTGCGAGCGAATCTGCATCCATGTTTAACATTCGCAGGAACATTCTACTCTGGTCCACTCTGAAGTCTACCTCTGGAAGATTGCGGGGTGGGGGTGGGGAGGTTGTAATCACAAGAGAATGACGCAACTACACAAGGAGAAGGAGAAGAAGAGACTGGATTCATACCCCGCATTTCACTACCCAGGGGAGTCTCAGAGCGGTTTACAAACCCCTTTCCCTCCCCTTCCCTTCCCCACAACAGACACCCTGTGAGGTAGGCGGGGCTGAGAGAGCTCAGACAGAAACAGCTCTTTTTCAAGGACAGCTCTTGTCAGAGCTACGGGTTCCCCAAGGTCATCCAGCCAGGTGCGAGTGGAGGAGTGGGGGAATCACACCTGGTTCTCCCAGATTAGAGTCCGCACACTTAACCACTACACCAAACTGGCATCCATGATGACCAAGCCTTGCTGTATCTGGGCTGGAAAAAGGTGCTTCAAGGCAGCGTCAGAAAGGGGTCGCTTACCGCGAGCAGAGGCAGGAGGCACCTGGGCACAGAGAATGAAGATGAGCCCAACGAAAAGGAAGAGGAGGCAGTGAGTCTTCATGGTGAGGCACTGGTGGATGCCTGGACTCTCCATGTACGCTTTATATCCCAAGCCCAGCAAGGGGCTGGTCACAACGCAGCCCCAGGCAGGCCGAGCAGTGAAGCAACAGGAAACACAGCCGAAGAGCTAGTCTTGTGTAACACTCCTCGAAAAGGTATGCAGCTGAGCAGGACGGGGGGGGGGTACTCTTCCATAGCGTGCATTCCATTTCCAGCCAGTGTGCATTCCATTTCCAGCCAAAGTGCACATTTCCATGGGTGCAAGCACACCGAGCCCCAAAAGCCCCCCCAAATCCTGGTCCTGGAACTCCCGTCTCCCCAAAGAGCAGGATTTCAGGGGGCCTCTCAGGCGCCTGTGGGAAGAGGGAGCTGCAAAAGTCACACTCGGTTGGGCACAACTGTGTCTGCACTGAGCTCCAGGTTTTCTTTGAATTTTCAGTCAAACAAACAAGAAATAGGAAGCATAACATCCGTGGTGGCAAGTCCACACACAAGCATCTAAAAGAGGTTTCCAAATATCTAAAACTATGTCTATACACAATTGTCATACGTTCAGTTTATTGGCTCTCATCCATCTCACAATCTGCTCCAGGCATCTGTTCAGGTCTTACACAGACCCCCCCCTCCGCCTAGTGGTAAGGGGAAACAGGCGTGGGAATAGAGGTCCCCTATATATTGGTGATAAGTTAAAGATAAAGGTTTCCCTTGCTCGAAAGCTGGTCAAATCCGACTGGTCAAAGAAGAAGGGGATGGCAAAGGATGAGATGGTTAGACAGTGTCATCGATGCAACGAACATGAAATTAAGCAAGCTTCAGAGGACAGCGGAAGACAGGAGGGCCTGGCGTGATCTGGTCCATGGGGTCGCGAAGAGTCCGTCTCAACTGTGCGACTGAACAACAACAAAAATATATTGGTGATAAGGTAAAGATAAAGGTTTCCCTTGCTCGAAAGCTGGTCAAATACGACTGGTCAAAGAAGAAGGGGATGGCAAAGGATGAGATGGTTAGACAGTGTCATCGATGCAACGAACATGAAATTAAGCAAGCTTCAGAGGACAGCGGAAGACAGGAGGGCCTGGCGTGATCTGGTCCATGGGGTCGCGAAGAGTCCGTCTCAACTGTGCGACTGAACAACAACAAAAATATATTGGTGATAAGGTAAAGATAAAGGTTTCCCTTGCTCGAAAGCTGGTCAAATCCGACTGGTCAAAGAAGAAGGGGATGGCAAAGGATGAGATGGTTAGACAGTGTCATCGATGCAACGAACATGAAATTAAGCAAGCTTCAGAGGACAGCGGAAGACAGGAGGGCCTGGCGTGATCTGGTCCATGGGGTCGCGAAGAGTCCGTCTCAACTGTGCGACTGAACAACAACAAAAATATATTGGTGATAAGGTAAAGATAAAGGTTTCCCTTGCTCGAAAGCTGGTCAAATACGACTCTAGGGGGTGGTGCTCATCATTCCAAGCCAAAGAGCCAGCATTGTCTGAAGACGTTTCTGTGGCCATGTGGTCGGCATGACTACACACCGAGGCGCATGGAACGCTGTTACCTTCCCACCGAAGCAGGTACCTATTTATCTCCTTGCAATTTCTCGCTTTCGAACTGCTAGGTTGGCAGGAGCTGGGGCCAGAGACGGGAGCTCACTCTGCCACGTGGCACTCGGGTCTCGAACTGCCAAACTACAGACCTTCCAGTCTGCAGCTCGGTGTCTTAACCTCTGAAATCCAGCTTCGATTCCCCACTCAGGCGATGGATGCTAGCTGGGCAACCTTGGGCCAGTCGCATGCTCTCAGCCTAACCTACCTCACAGGGTTGTTGTGAGGGTAAAAATGGAGGAGAGGAGACTAGTGTAAGCTGCTTTGGGTCTCCATTGGGGAGAAAGGCGGGATATAAATCATTTCTCCCATTCATAGTAGGCAAAAGTGTGTAGGAAAACAGTTTCACCCTTACGAGGTGCTACTGTGTTGCAATCACCATGTAATAACTTGTCATATCAGGTTTGGCAAGGATGTTAAATATCTTGAAAGAAACATCAAGGCCAAGAAAGAGCCACACATTGTTTTTACATCTCCTTTAGGCAAAGCGAGGCAGAGGTTCTTTTCTATATCCTGCTGGGAGGGTGGATGGTGAGATTTGTAAATATCAGTAAGGATGCAGATTTCGGAGCCTAAGGAAGCCAACAACTGAACTGACACACACTGTTCTCAGCCCCTCCCCAGTATCTGCAGCACAAGGCTGAGCATTGTCCAGGTTTGCAGGGTTCCTGGTTGGATCGCTCTAGTAAGTTATGTGGAGTGCTATGCCCGGAATCCCTATATAAATAACTAGGAAGAATGCCCGTTGTGGAACTGAAGACAACGGGGCACTAGCCTGGCCACGAGTGAGGTCGCCATCTCCATCTGGCCCCCCCACGGCAAAGCTGGCCATCCTGCCCTGCATGGTTGGGGCTCCGGCGGGCCAAGGCGCCTGGCCTCCCCCCGCCCGCTCGAGGTGCCAGCGGGGGAAG